TATCTGATTGTTGCTAAGAGGTATGCCTGGCACCTACTCTCTATTCTTTTCAGTGTCTGGTGGAAACTGTTTAATTTTCCCAATATTTTAGAGGCTAACTTAGTGTTAATACTGCATTTTACTCTGTACGGCTGCTATACATCTGCACCAATGTGATTGCTATTTGCTGTGATTTTATTGTTTTATAGTTTTATATTTTATTCCTTTATTTTTTCTTTATATGTTTTTAACTTTTGTTAACTGCCCAGAGAGCCTTTGGCTACTGGGTGGTATAAAAATGAAATAGATAGATTAAAAAAAGCACCTTTTTGTTCTGTACTCAGATGGAGCATATTTGGTATGTTTCAAGGACACAGCATGCTTTTGTTTTTCCTTCTGCCGGACCAGAGCCAGGAGCTTCAAACCCATCAAAGAGTATGGGTGGCCAGTGGCTGAGCTGGGGATGGGGGGACTCACTTGGCCTGTGGCAGCTGCTGTCTCTAACGCCTTTGGATTCCTGGAATAAGTCCCAGACAGCACAATGGGAAGCTGCAGTAACTGTAAATTGTCAATAAAAGGCACAGGATAAGTGGAAATGGACTTCATCTGAAAGCCAAATCACATGCCTTAGTCACAACATTAAACCAAGTATAAAATATTTGAATGAAATATGCCAATTGCCTGACTGTTTAGTATTATAATTTTCTGCACAGTTAAACTGAATCTATAATAAAATAAGGAGTCCTAATAAGGAATCGCCCCTTCTCACCCAATTTTTAGTGCTTTTCCAATTTCTCAGTTTACCTAAATTTCCTATGCTACGAGGCAGACTGATACCAATACAATGGTACCTTGGCTCATGAACTTAATCTGTTCCACGACTCTGGTCACGACCCAAATTCGTTGGGAGCCAAGTCGAATTTCCCCATAAGGTTCAATGTAAATAAGGTTAATCCCTTCTGTAACTATTTTTTTATCACAAAAATTTGAAGCAAAGTGACAAAGAACAACAAAGATCGTGGCCATCTGCCCCCCCCCCCCGGCCACCAGCGCCGCCCTTAACCCCCCCCAAGCATGACCCGGGCCACCCCCCCCCCCCCCGCAAGTGCGATTGCGGTTGTCCTAGTGCAGGGAAGATGGGTGCAATCGCGATGGTCACCGATGCGGAGTTCGTGACCTGAGGCAATTTTTTTCTGAAATTTCTGTTCACTACCCGGTTTGGTCGTGAACTCAGGCGTTCATGAGCCAAGGTACCACTGTATCTTGGTCTTATAATTTTATAAACACACACACCACTACTGGCCCAAAAGAAACCCTCCAAAGCAGCTCACATATAAACGTGTGGCCGTTCTAATATAGATGCTGTAACACACTGAAACAGTATCTCCAGTACCGTGCCTGCCCTCCCCAGCCCCCAGCCTTGGAGTGGCTCGCACATGATGCCAGTGGTGATGGCAACGTGGTTCCTTCCCACTATCTTGAAATAACATAAAGAGCTCCACTTCTTGCATTAGGAACCTTTCCAGCTTCTGTGCTTTCAAAAACACTGGCCTACAGGGAAGCTGTGGGGTGGGCTGCAGTTTGCTTTTTTTTTTTTTACTGTGCTTTCAATTTATTTGCTTTTGTGTTCTATTTTAAGCCATGTTTTGTTTTTAATTTGAGCTTAATTGTTAGCCACCTTCAGTGTCAGGTTTTGGTTGAAAGGTGTGATACAAATAAATAAATAAAATGAATGACTAAATGTCCACCTGAGGAATGTGACAAGTGGAAACTGACTTTTCTGACCCTTCCTCAGCCCACTGCAGCTCTTTCTAAAATGCTCACTTGAAGGTCAGGGCTGCTGCTGAGTGTAATGGGCATGGTTACTGGATGGGAAGAGGGAGACAGTGGGAAATGGGGGGGAGGAATCTTCTGCTCCACTTACAGACGGTGCCTCCATTTGATCTTCTGTAATCTCCTGCCTCTCCCTCAGCCCCCTATCCCATCCCACTCTTCAAGAGTCTCCAACAACCAGGAGTACTTTAGGGGTGGGCAGGTTTCTCTGTGCAGGGAAGTTAGCTTCTGTCCACCAGCTTCTATAAGCAGATATCTAGATCCAACCCAATATATTTGCACCATGTTCTTTCAGTACATACAATGTGCTTTGCATTTCTGATAATACAGTTTTAACTGCATATCCAGTTATGGTGGTTGAAAACAATGGTGCACTTAAAGTTATGCACAAAAGGAAACTAAAAATGGCCAAAATGTCTACATGTATTACTTTCTTTTCACTTCTATAGCTTACAGTAATGAAAGGTCTCTAGACAGTTCACAGCAATTCACAAAACCCCAAGCACAAATATAATAAAAGCACAAGCACAAATATAATAAAAATACAATAAAAATACAGATACTATAAAATGTAGCATAAAGTACAGATACCATAAAATACAGCATAAAATAACCATATACAAATTTAAAACAAATTAAAAAGCTACAAAACAAAACCTGAAATTAAAAATTAGGTCTGTTGAAACAGCTGATATAGAAACATACATAGAAACTTAGAAACAGATCGAGTCAGAAGGGACCTCCCGGGCCATCTAGTCTGACCTCTGGCACCAGCCGGCTCCGCTCACGACATGCCCACCATGTGGACGTCCAGCCTATCCTTGAACACCCGCACCTATGGGGCCTCAACGACCTCTCTTGGAAGCCCATTCCACACCCTCAGGGTCCTGACTGTCAGGAAGTGCTTCCTGGCATACAAATGGAACCTTGGTTCCCTGAGCTTTGCTCCGCTGGAGCGCGTCCTGCCTTCCTCTGCAGGGGAGAACAGGTCTCTACCCATCTCCGTGTGACATCCCCTCACATACCTGTATGTCGCCAACGCTATATTAAATGCCTGGGAGTCAAGAAAAGTCTTAACTTGGTGCCATGCCCTTAGGACCAGCATGCAACAGCCCCCCAGATAACATTATAAAGCTCCCTTGGCAGCAAGGCTGAAAAGAGGCAGTCAGATGTAGTTTCTTTACTGCTCATAAGCATGCCTGATTAAAGGCACATACCTGGGTTTGATGGCATCCAGCAGTTTTTTTCCTCTGCACTACAGAAAACAAGTTCTACCCATCCACTTGTATTTGTTAGAATTTTTTTTAGAAAGTGTATTAGAGAAAAATTTCATGGCACATCTAACCACAATTCAGATGAATAAACAATGCAATATTGTCCCCATGGTCTCCTTCAGAACAGTAAACACTTAGAAGTATTCAGCAATTCTGGTCTATATTTTTCCATTACATGTGACAAGACCTTTCTTCATGTGGGCTATATTACTGCTCACATTTTCCTTATGTTATCTGTTACTAAGGTCTTCTTTGTACACGACAGCCAATATACGAGAGCCAAGGTAGGGAGCACCTGTATACAAATAGCCCCTTTACTTTTTAAAAATGTACACCAGGACCAGATCTTTCCTCACCTTTTCTTTCCATGGATATTAAATGGAAACACTGTCATACATGTGTAGTGAGTTAAGCTGTAGTCCCAAACCTGACTGTGATCCCCATACTTACTTCCAAGTAAAACGGAAACAGAATGGAACCTAAATGCTATGTATTCAAAGTAGTGTGTAGCAGCTCTGTAGAGCAGTCCACCTTCTTAGGAGGGATTAAAGAATTAATAGGATTGCTCAGTAGATTAATTCATTAATTTTAGATTTAGAAGGTGGTTTCTTGAGCAGATCATAATCAGATTTACAACCATTGTATAAAAGATGATTTTCCAACTAATAAATTATTTGTATGTTGAGAGTTAACTTAATTAATTAAACTCCATGCATACATCATTCTTAAAGTAGTATAAATTGTGCTTGCCCCGTGTTGCTCATTTCTTCCTTCCTCCGTCGACTACAGGGCCAATTCCTGGCAACCTATGACCTATGGAAACTGGGAGCACTAAATAGAGGGCACAGGGAACCACATGGGCACATGGGGGGCAGGTAACTAATCTAAATCAAGGCATTAGTTACCTGATCAGAAAGCTTCCCTGACACCTAGAGGGGCTGGTTCAAGTTATATCGTAACAGGAATTTATACTGTTCTAATGATATATGACTTTTTAATGAATGCCAACAGTGTCATACTGATTAAAACTATAAGAATAGGGTCAAGTTTCTAGAAGAGTAACTATTCCAAAGTCTGATTATGTTTGTGTTATAAAGATTAAAATTAATACAATCCATGCAAATTTTTTTGTGTAGAAATGTAATCCTGAACTGTACATTTTAGAAACAGAGCAAGTCAGAAGGGGCCTCCCAGGCCATGTAGTCTGACCCCTGCTTCCAGCCAACTCCTCTCACGACATGCCTGCCATGCGCATGTCCAGCCTATCCTTGAATACCTCACCAATGGGGCTTCAACCACCTCCATAGATTGTTTTAAAAGTAATCTATGAAGACATTCTTTGATTGGCTTCCCTAACCAAAAAGACTTTCAGATACTTCCAGCAACTATGGCTGTACATGACACATTCTTATAGTTAATTAATTAACTATAATTAATAGTTTAGCATAATTTAACTACAACATTACTTCTACACAGTGCATGAAACAAATGTCATATAATCTTTTCTTAACTTATGTAAAGAAAAATTAATTTGCTATTAACATTTGCGCATAACATTTATCCATCCATCCATTTTAATAAGTACTATTCCTAAAGGGGGTTTGTAGGAAACAATGCATATTTAAGGTAACACCTATTAGATATAGGTGACTCAAGTAATATTAAGAGCAGTTAAGAGAGGAATGGATAGGGAGACATTGCACTGCACATGGAGAAACTGTAAAGTGGACATTGGTGGACAGTTATGTTTTTCAAAAGGAGACGGTGGGGTGAACCACAGTAAGCCCCCCCCCCCCACTAAAACCAGAAAAAATCAGTTACTGCAGATATATTATGATGGCATTGAGAAGATAGTTGGACTATGAAAGCAGAAAAAAGGTACACAAAGCAGAATAGGTAAAATAGGTGCCTTACTGGTGATGTTTATGAGAATGGGTGCTTTTTCAGTGGTCAAGAGCTGGTCGTCTTCTCCATCCCCAAATGCAGTACATCATGGTAAGGAGGTAGCTGCCCTTTATTAAGCCATTGCATGTTACTGATCTAGAGAGGGGTTTCCTGTGCTTATCACAAAATGTCAAATATTCGGCAATTCAGAACGCTCCTATAACATCAAGATTTTAAAATACTGAGGCAGGATTTAAAAAATGGTGTTGCTTTTGACCATCCTTGTTCATATCCAAGTTTTAAAAGTTTCTTTGTGTTTTAAATAGTTTTCTTGATGCACAGCAACAGATACTTTATGACTTTGCTTTCAGCTATTCTGTTGAAAAGGGTTCCAGTTACTGCAGCAAGACAAAGTAAACAGAAGAGTGTCCAGCTCTTCTCATCTCATCAGTAGCCTATTTTCTGCATGGGTACTTTTGTCCTTTAGTTTGTTCAGTGCGTAGCCTCACCAAGTCATCCCTAATTGTAACTGATACATGCTGGCACATCTGTTTTCTCTGCAGAGCCTTTTAGAATTCTTTGAAAGGCACCGGAAGGATGTGGGCTCCTTTTTAGACTAAAATGAAGGAAATTAGCCTTACATTGGGTGTCACAAAGTAATGCCTATGTTACATTTCAGCGTGAGAAAGGCGGAGAAAACACACTACACTATTCTATATAGGTTAACAACTTTGCCAACTTTCAGTTTTGCTTCCCGCTCAGATTTTAAAACTTTTTTTTTCCAAAGGAATGGTTGCCAAGGGGCATGGAAGAATAAGAGCAGAAAAAACAACTATACAAAGCAGATTACATAAACAAAGTCAAGTTTTTTCCATCTGTGTATAAAATGTGCAGAGTTTCAGTAAGTATTAAATGATAGAAAAATCTCCAGCAGGCAACTTATGTGAATGCAGAGCCACACAGATGATACAAAAAGAGCAGGTGTGAACAGGCAATCACATGAGTTTCAGTGGACCGGCTGCATGCTAAACATGCAGCACTTTTCATGCAAGGACTTCCCCCTTCCTCTGGGTCAAATAAGAAGACACTGCAGGCAATGAACCTTCTAATGTATGGGTCCTTTGCATGTGTACTGAAGCTGCTGAGCCCCTAAGTATTGCAGGATTGGAATGACTGAGCGCATTGCACATTAATTCAATAACAAGTGCTTAGATCAGGGGTCTCAAACTCGCGGCCCATGGGTCAATTGCCGGGATGGGTGGGGCACGGGGGAGGGGCCCTGCGGCCTTCAAAGCGCCGGTGGCGCCCGGGCCGGCCTGCGGGAGCGACGCGGGATGAGCGGCCCACCGCCACCGCTTGATGCGGCCCAGCCTCACCCAGACTCTACTTCCAGCGGCCCCCAGGTAAGTTGAGTTTGAGACCCCTGGCTTAGAGCATCTGGAGAGGCAACTAGGGCTGCTTCAAAATGGTTGGACTGGCCCCATTGCCCAAGCTAAGGTTCTTGCAGCATCAGGCAGCAGAGTGGCAAACTGCAGCACTCCATCTCTCTGCAGCTGCCAGGATGGCCTGCTGGTGCCTACCAGTTACTCTCCTGCTGTGGCATTTGCCACACAAACCAACGTGGTGTTCTGGAGCAACCTGCTGGGTGCACCAGCAGCTGCCACTGTACAGCTTGCCCTGTGTACTTGGCTAGCTGGCTGCTCTTTTACTTGCTTGGCCAGCTCTTTTACTTTCTGGCTGCTTGCTCGCTCGCTCGCTCGCTCTTCCCTGCCTTGCACCCCAGCTGTGGGGTTTATGCAAGAGGTTAGTCAACTTCATGCAACCCCCCCACACCTGAGGCTCCAGGCAGGAATGAACAAGCAGGTGGGTAGCCAGCTAAGCTGGCTGGCTGAGCAATCAAAGGAGCAGCCAGCTGTCTGGCTAAGCCCAAGCCTAAATCCAAGCACTTTATTTATTTATTTATTTATTGCAGTCACGGACCAGGAAAATTAACAAACACTAAATAGCAATAGAAAAATTAAAACACAGTTAAAACAAGTACAATTTATACAATATTTTTCCTCAAGCAGACGACCATGTTTTTCCTAATCTGCATTGCAGTCATAAAAAACATGGCTACGTTTCCAGTAACATAAGAGGATACATCCCTTAAACAAATAGATACCAGAGTGGAGGAATCATTCCAAAAAGATCTGTTATTAATGGTTTAATCAATCTTTCTCTGCATTCCCTATAGAAGCTGCAATATAGGAGAACGTGTTCCACTGTTTCTACTGTTCCAACACCAGAAGAACATACCAATTCATTGACTGGGGTCTTGCTAAATCATCCCTTTAATGGTGCTTCTGGTAGCACATTAAAACAGGCAAGAGTAAATGTTCTTCTCTACTTTGGGATAGTTTGTGTGTACAGATATGGAGCTGGAATAAATCCAGTGTTATAGCAGTTATTGCAGTTAAAATGAAATAATGAGGAACCAAGTTTTATTAGCAGTAGTTCTATTAATTTTGTTACCACAAGAAATTGGGACTTCTCCAATCCATAATTATCCAACACTTCTGCAGAGGATCCTAGCCTATGTTGCTTTTCATCCATTTCTCTCATCCATTGGGTAGCATACATATCTGAAAGCAGTAGAAAAATGTAGCTACCAAGAGCTGCAAGAAAATGTAAACACAGCCATCATTTAAAGGCTTCAACCCATGCCTTGCATTCAACAGATAAATCCCTGCTTCCAGGCAGATGGCTGCATTCTGCATACAGGGAGGAAGGCCTGAGAGCTTCCTAAGAAAATTTGACTGATAGGGATGCCATAAATACCCTGGGACAAGGTTTTTGCTTTATAAATCTGTATTGCAGAGGGAATATGATGTTCACCTCGGGTAAGCTGGCTAAGCAGAAAGGGCAGCTTGCCAGTCAGTCAGCCAAGCAGGTGGATGGTGGCACAATATGTTGGGTCTGACCTGCAAAATGCATACCTAAAATGTGATGTATTAATGCAACAAAGAGGTTTCTGAATACATGTGCAGCATCCAGGTACATTCATTAGAAATCTGAGATTAGTAATGGGTCCCTGCTGATGGAAAATGTGGTCACAGTTCCAGGCGCTTTGGAAAGTCCAGCAGTAGGAAGGATGAATTAAAAAGGTATGCAATGTTTGCCAAAAAAAAAAAAAAAAGATCACTGTATAGCTAAGGGTAAGCAAACTGGTACCTTCTAGATATTTTGGACTGCAGCTCCCGTAAGCACCAGCCAGAACAAGTAATGGTCAAGGATGGAGGGAGTTTTAGTCCAAGGCATTTGAAGGTTACCAGATTCCCTTCCTTGGTACTGGTTTTTAAAGAACTGATCCATTCGTTATTACAGAATATAAACTTTTCCTAGCCATGGTTTTGTTTATAGTTTTGATTCATTGATCGATTATGAACTAACAAAAAGTTATACATACTTATGGGCTAGTAAAAGGAGAGAAATAATGAGAGAGAGAGAGAGAGAGAGAGAGAGAGAGAGAGAGAGAGAGAGAGAAAATAAGAGTTCAGTTGTAAACACAGTGACTGAGGAGTAAGCACCAGTGAACACAGTGGAACTTATTGCTGTGAAGACATATACAGGATTGCATTGTAAATTTGCAAATAAGCCTCATTATTTAGGGCATTATCCAGAAGACTGCTTCTGGATAAATTCCAGGAATATACCAGAGTTCCAAGTCTCTCTCTTATTTAGCATAACAGCCTTATGCATGGCTTTACAAGGTAGCTTTGAAACACTCTGGAGGCTACAGAAACTGTTAATAATTCAGTGTAAGAAGCTGCCATGTGGGGGAAGAAGTGGAAGCTGCAGTATTCACAGGCAAGCCCTCAGTTACACTCCAAGGGGCCTTGCCATTCCCAACCTTAGACAGTGCCCTTTTCCAATGCACCCTTGCTGAAAAGCACACCTCCATATTGTCAAGACTTTGCTCTCCCCGCTTCCTCTCTGCAATTCTGCTTTGAGGCGAAGTGACATTTCATTTTTGCCTGCTGTGAACCCAGGTGGTTCCACTTCAACCCTCATTTTATAACTGCAGGATGAGGGTTAGGAGTAGTTCACAGCTACATGAGCTGCAAAACAAACACATAATAACTGAACTATGCAAAATCAGACAGCTGGGACTGGTGTGCCCACTGTGCTCATTCCCAGAGACATCTGATTTAGCCATGGGCACACATGTCTTAGCTACATCCCGGCTGGACTACTGTGATGTGTTCGACCTTTGAAAGCAGTTTGGAAACTTCAGCTGGTCCAGAACACATTAGCCAGACCGTTGAGTGGTCCTGGTTACAGGGCATATGCAACTCCATTGTTACAACAGCTTTGCTGGCTGCTTGTCTGATTCTGGGCAGAATTCAGAGTGTTGGTTATGTCCTATAAAGCCCTATATGGTTGGGGACCAAACTAAAAGAAAAACAACCGTCTCTCATACAAGGCTGCCCGGTTCTTAAGATCTTCAGGAGAGCTACATTCGGTGACAAAGTCAGGGGGCCTTCTTGGTGGCTGCACCCTGGCTGTAGATCTCCCACTCTAGCAGGCTATGTTCATTCCCTCTCTGCTGTCCTTCTACTGCCAGGCAAAGATGGCTTTGGTCAAGCAAGCCTTATGATATGTACGTGTGTTTGTTGATCCCGGTGCCCTTTTCACTTTGATTAAAAAGCTACCTTGAATGCCAGTTGTGGTAGAAAGTCAGGGTTTGAATTAAATAAATATCATAAATTTTGCCCAGCAGGTTTGTCCGATAACCTTGAACTGTGTCCTTGAAGGTAGACAAACATGAACACAAATCATATACATGCAGAAGCTCAGATGCGCTCTGTGTAGCTGCAACAGCTGTCACTGTTCTGTTTTTTTAAAACTAAATATTTCTATACCAACCAAAGTGAAGGATTGGAGATAACTGAATTACGACTTTATGGACTGTATATAATTTTTAGACTTAGTGATGAATTTATTACAGGAGCTTACTATTCTTATACCCAACTGTTTCAGCGCTGATAATTTAAAAACCATTTGATTGTAATCTCCTTTTTTTACATGGAAATAACTTTTTCATTTAACTAGTTCAGATTAATTTGATAACAGGCACAGTGGCTGAGCTCATGGAGCAGAACCAAATCTCAGGGGCACTTAGCTTATCAGCTTCAAAGCAATACCTGTTCTCACCTCCCAATCTTTCAAATGTAAAGGCTGTACTCACAAGATTCACTCATGAGATTCACACTTTGCTTACAGATTATTTGCAGATTACAGACTGCATTGTGCTTGCAGAAGCAGATCATAGCAGAGGCAAATGCATAAGCATGTTGTACTGAAAGCAGTGCAGAATTCCTTAGAATTGATTTTATTTAAAAAAGAAAAAAAAATCCGATAATCCCAAAGCTTCTAACTGAAAATGAAAGTCAGAATTTTATTTAAGAGAAGTAACTAGGGGAACTGAGTTTGACAACAGCAGAACAGATGCAGATTTCCCCAAAACTATCTCTACTAAGGGGGAAAAAAACATGCAGAAGCAGTTCCCAGACTTGTAGCTTGACAATTAAACCTTAATTTAAAACCACCTCCTCTTTAGCAAGAGCCATCTAATTGCCTTTATGTCTGCTCGCATATTTTTCATAACTGTTTTAACAAAATGCAAGCATATGATTTACAAACCAATTTAACTTAGACAATGATTTTAAAAAATGGGGACTGGGGACACAATGCATATGTTGGCACATAAGATTCCTCAAAGTCAGCATGAGAGCAAGGATAAACAGCACACTTTTATAACTGTATGCAGACTGAATGCAGAACAGATGAAAGCAAGATGACAGAACAAGTGAAGCGAACCAGAGTGGGTACAAAGTACAGCGAACAGTCAGCGAAGCAAGCTAAGCCACTGATTTTAGGGGACTTAAGTGTCTAACTTGGGGTGGTACTGGGGCCCAAGTGAAAAAGTGCAACACCAGTGGATTTACCGTAGCTTTATGGTATAGGCTGAGAAGGGAGAAAGGGACGATACATGTGTGAGGGGAGACAATAGGTGGTTGAATGAAATGCGCTTGCTCAAAGAATTGATGCAGTATTAAAAACAGTGCTGGAAGTTTTGCTTGACAGGCATGTTGCTTTTCTACACTGAACGTGAAACTATGATGAAGAA